ATCTGACTCCATTCACAGAGTCACTGAATCTCAGAATTGGAAGGGGCCCTACATGAACATATGGTAAGAACTGAATAAATAGTTGTTGATTAATTGATTGATTAAGGTAGAAATATACAGTACAGTGAAAAAAATAGTAAAGGAGAAAGAACGCATAGGAAAGGAAAAAGTAGACATGGGGAATGCTATCCTAATTCTATGTTCCAATAGGACAGAGACTAAATCATACACATCTTAGCAGAACCTTAAGAAGCAATTTTTGCACCTGGGATGGGATGGTGGCCAAACCTGGAGTAGAGCCCAAGGATAGGAGAATATCCTTAGTCAGACATGAGAAGGCTTCTATAATGCTAAAGGGGAAAGAAAGCATGGAATAGAAGGAGCCCCTTCATGGTGACTAGGTGGGCGGAAGAGGAAGCACAGATGTTTTAAGTATCCCTCTGCCTCAAGGGTATTTCACACACTCAGTTCATGCAGCAACAGATTAAAATGCAACTGGGAAATATTGGACAAAATACCCCCAAAATAGATAATATTTTATTTTAAAACTAAGTCAATAGGCAGGCCTGAGGAATCCTTATTTACAGATAAGTGACTCCTGTTTTTGAATCTGACACCACTGCTCTACTTTGCCTGCCCTAGGACAAAACTCTGGTGTCCCAGACTCAGTCGTGTCTTTGAATTGCTTTATTCCCCACAGTACCTGGCACAAAGTTTTGCACATAGTAATTGGTAAATGAATATTTACTGAAAGAATGAATGGCCAAGTGAAGGAACACTGACCTTCTAAAAACTTAAAGCTGAAACAGGGTACTTCCAGAGTGGGATTAGACCTTCCTAGGAAGCAAATATTTAAGATAGACAGTCTTACTCACAGGATTATGAGTGAGCAGCAAAGTCACCCTGGAGTTCAGGGTGAACAGTCACTTCTTAAACTGTCACTTGCCAACCCTCTACACACACACACACACACACACACACACACACACACACACACACACACACGACTGGACAAGAAGCAGTCAGGTAAGCTGCCCCATTTGGCCAAAGTTTTTGACTCCCCATGCGGTAGGGCCATCTGCCAGGCCCCACGCTCACAGAGGCCTAGACTGAAGCAAGAGCCTCTAAAGTCATCTGTAAAGAAATAATTTAATGTGAGATTGAGACCAGGAAGGGAAAATTAACTCGGCATTCCTTCCTCCTGGACTCCTGGGATCTGTCAAAGGCAGAGCTTCAAGTGAAAACGCACAGATAAAATAAAGAACTTGTGTCTGGGAAAGAGCCTTTTCTTCTTTGTTCTTTGCTGTCAAGGAGGTAAAGCTGTGTGGGCTTTTTTATTTTTATTATCCCCCTCAAGAAGTTCACAATATGATTGGCAAAGTATCAGGAATAACAAGATAAAACAGTGATGTAAATGCCGCAGAAACAGTAGATCTTTTGTGATGACCTTGCCTAAGAAGGCTTGCAGTCAAGAGAAAAGATGGAATTTGGGCTTTCATGCTGAGCCCTCTCACACGTAAAATTTACAATATCCTTCCTATCGGAAATGTTTAAATAGCTTCCCCTACAGGTATTTACAATCTGCCTCAACACTTGGCTGACTCCTGGCAATTTTCTGCTCTCATTCTCATTAAATACTTAAAGAGAAACCCCAGGGAAGCATTTTGACTACCACATTGAATTACAACAAGGGATAAATCACTAAAGAAATATTTTAGTGTCCAAAACGCAATAAAAAGGATCATTATTCCTGACAAATACATAATGAAGAGAGGAGACTGACAATGACTCAGAAAATTCAAAGAGCTCTCTGGAGGTCAATCGAGCCTATCCCTCTGGGTAAGACTGTACTTTAAGCCAACCCGGATAGATGCTTGGGCCTTAAAAACCTCCAGAGACTGAATGATCTCTCTTGCTAATGGTGCTCTATTTTTCTCACAACCCCCTTCCTCAACAAGTCCTTCCTGATATCTAACCTAAATCTCTCTGAGTAGAATTTAACCTCCCTCCCACTTGGTCTGAGATCAGTAGAGATCTGAAAAACCAAGCTGCTTAGAGCTACTACACCATGTGTTTGGAGGAAAGGGACAGGAATGACTGGGGTAGCTGTGGGGTACCTCGGTCTCCCCCTCGAGCAGTCTCTGAAACCCTGGGACAAGCATCTGGAAGCCAATCTTCCTCAAGAGTTCTTCCAAGCTGTGAACTGGTCTATGCCCAGGCAAATAGAAGATCCCTGGAATGATCCCACTTCCATTTCTTATTCCAAGCATCTGCTAAAGTCAATCTAGCTCCTGAGGTTTTAGGCCAAAGACACAGGACAGTGTCTATCACATAGTAAGGACTTAACAATTGGGTGTTGACTGATTTAAGGGCATTCATATTTTTCACTAGTTGGCTAGATGATCAAAAAACCATATGTACAAATGGATTTAATTTAATAATGTACTATCTAATTATAAAATTAGTGATCTTTGGCTTTACAGTTACTGATTTAGTTAAGCTTGTCAGCATGAAATCTACTGGTAGTGGCAACGGCCAAATAGTTATTTAGTCCCTACTAGCCCACTAGTTCCTGTAGACTAGCTAATTATATTTTTTTTTAATAGCTAAGATTATTAGATGGGCCATACCTCAGGATCAGATGGATGGCCTTAGGATAACTGGGGGGTAGGGGAAGGGAAGGAGCAGGGTTTGTTTCATGAACTGGATAACTATCAACAAACTGAATATTTCCATACAAAAAGTCCATTTGTTCTTCAATACTAGTCTTCCTGACCCCATTTGGGGTTTTCTTGGCAAAGATACTGAAGGAATTTGCCATTTCCATCTCTAGCGCATTTTACAGACGGGAAAACTGAGGCAAACAGGGTTAAAAGACTTACCCAGGGTCACACAGCTAGTAAGTATCTAAGGTTGGATTTCGACTCAGGAAGACTCATCTTCCTGACTCCAGGCCTGGTATCACTGTGCCTCACCTAGCTACCCACAAAAAGGCCTATTTTCATGTCAGTGAAAATAGACATCTATACACAGCCAGTTCCTTTTAATATGGATTAAATTTAACATAAGCAACATTACCCTGCTTGTCTATGCCCTGCCAATACCATTCTGATTTTCTCTGTATATTTGTAAGGGTTTGATAGCTGAGCATAATTGATACTCTTTTTTACTCTTTTCCTTAAAAAAATAAATTGTCTGAACTTTACAAACAGCAACAATCATTTTCACATACAAAAAAGAATAGAAAAAGAGGACTGTATATGAAACAATGAGTCTCTATTATGCTTGGTTTTTTTTAAGGCTATAATAAATTCAATGTATTAGTATCAAAGTTGGTCTAGCTTGTCTGCTTTCCCCTCTAAACGTCCTTCTGTTCTCTTCTGTGTGTTTTTAAATACTTCAATGACCTTCTTTTTTCTCTTTTCTTATTGTTTTGGCATCACCAACCCCCCTCAAGCCCAGATCACCCCACCCCATACAATTTTGAAATCTTTCCTCGTAGCACATAGGCATAGTTCAGCAAAACAAATCTGCACGTTGGCCGTGTCTAAAAATTTATGTCTCCTTCTCGCCTCTAGTTCATTATTTCTCTGTCAGGAGGTGGGTAGCACACTTGGTTGGCTGGATTTTAAGCTACATTATTTCTCTACCCAAAACTTCATCCCTATCCTCCCAGTAATAATAACAACAATTCACATTAACAAATTACTTCATAGTCTTTACAAAAAAATTTTCCCCAAAGAACAATGGTAGAGCAATTATTATTATTCCCATTTTAGGGCTTAAGAATGAAATGAATGAGTGAAAATGCATTTTTTAAACTATTTATTTATTTATTTATTTTTAGTTTTCAACATTCACTTCCATGAGATTTTGAGTTTTAAATTTTCTTCCCCTTCTTCCCCACCTCCCTCCCCAAGATAGCATGCAATCTGATATAAGCTCTACTTATGCATTCCTATTAAGCATATTTTCCCATTAGTCATGATGTAAAGAAGAATTAGAAGCAATGGGAGGAACCATGAGAAAAAAAGAATCAAAACAAAACAACAAAAGAAAAGGTGAGCAAATAGCATGCTTCCATCTGCATTCAGACTCCATAGTTCCTTCTCCAGACGTGGATAGCTTTTTCCATAGTGAATCTTTTGGAGCTGTCTTAGATTCTTGTATTGCTGAGAAGAGCTAAGTCTATCAAAGTCAGTCTGTGTGTGGCTGTTGCTGTATACAATGTTCTCCTGGTTTTGCTCACTTCACTCAGCATCAGTTCATGTAAGTCTTTCCAGGTTTTTCTGAAGTCCACCTGTTCATCATTTCTTATAGCACAACAACATTTCATTACATTCATATACCACAACTTGTTAAGCCATTCTGCAATAGATGGGCATTCGCTCAATTTCCAATTCCTGGCCACCACAAAAAAAGCTGCTATAAATATTTTTGTACGTGTGGGTCCTTTTCCCATTTTTATGACTTCTTTGGGGTACAGACCTAGAAGTGGTATTGTTAGGTCAAAGGGTATGCACAGTTTTAAAGCCGTTTGGGCATAGTTCCAAAGTGCTCTGCAGAACGGTTGGATCAGTTCATAACAAGGCATTAGTGTTCCAATTTTCCCATATCTTCTCCAACATTTATCATTTTCCTGTTTTGTCATGTTAGCCAATCTGATAAGTGTGATGTGGTACCTCAGAGTCATTTTAATTTGCATTTCTCTAATCAATAGTGATATAGAGCATTTTTTCATATGACTATAGATAGCTTTAATTTCTTCCTCTGAAAACTGCCTGTTCAAATCTTTTGACCATTTATTAATAGGGGAATGACTTGTATTCTTATAAATTCAACTCAGTTTTCTATATATTTTAGAACTGAGGCCTTTATCAGAGGCACTGGCTATAAAAATTGTTTCTCAGCTTTCTGCTTCCCTTCTAATCTTGGTTGCATTGGCTTTGTTTGTGCAAAAGCTTTTCAATTTAATGTAATAAAAGTCATTCATTTTGCATTTCATAATGTTCTCTACTCTTGTTTGGCCATAAATTCTTCTCTTCTCCATAAATCTGATAGGTAGAAAATGCCTTTGTTAAGAGCTTACTTAATATGTTCCAAACACTTAGCTAAGTACCAAGAATATAAGAATAAAATCAGACAGTCCCTGGTCTTAGGAAATTCCTATTCTAGGGGAGATAACATATAAAACAAAGTTCATCTGTAGAGTACATGGAAAAGCCCAGGAGTCCTTAGGTTAAATCGGTAGGTCATATGACAATACTAGGTGTCTGTAGTAAGTGGAGGTAGGATAGATAGTAAGGCATAGAAAACCTTAGGAAGCAGTGGCAGGGGAAGTGGGAAGGTATGGTGGGCCTCTATGTCAAATGAAGGAATAGAATTGGTGTTTCCCATTTCATCTGAGTCTTGTGAGCTCTAGGATGGATACTAGAAAGAAACTAGGGTTCTGAGGTTAAATGACTCAGCATAGGGTTCATAAGAATCAGAGCTAAAATTTAAACCCAAGACTCCAAATCCCAAAACACTTTCCACTATAACATCTTACCTCCCAAAGGTACCGATGCTTTTGGTGCTAGAATCTCAGGAACTAGTACAGACCTCGGAAGACATCTAGTCCAATCTGTATCTGAATAATTCTCTCAACTCCATCCCCATCAAGCAGTCACCCAAACTTTGTCTGAAGACTTCTCCTAAGAGGCAAGCCATCACTTCCCTAGACAACCTGTTCTCCAACTGTTAGGAAGAGAATCTGTACATCTAGCCTAAATCTGCTTCTGCCCCTTCCACTCCTAGTTCTGCCTTCTGATAATAAATAGAAGTCTACCTTTATGCAGATGGCTCTCAGATGTATGTCTCCATGCCCAGTCTCTCCCTAGTTTTTTCATTTCTGCATTAGCTGGATGATGAAAATTAATTGATATGTCTAGCCAGATGTATCAACATTTCCAACACTCAATTCTTCATACAGTGTCCCAAAACTTCTAGTGCAGATTTAAGCTATTACATTAAGACTTTGGGGATACTCTGTGTTACTCCCAATACACAAAACTCCTACTCCACCCCCTGACTTTTCTATTTTGTTGCTACTGCCATCATCAACCATCCTAGTTATACAAATAAAAACTGTGAATTTGTCTTTGACTTTTCCTTCTCTTTTACCTCCCATGTATAATCAGGTGGCACATGTTACCTCTATAACCTCTCATCAGTCCCTTCCTTTCTATTCCCACTGAAATACAGATGGAGAATCACTGAATCAATGAGTTGGAAAGGAATTTGGAGGCCATCTAGTCCAATCTATGCCTGACCAAGGATCCCATCTATAGAATCCCATACCAAAAGTCATCTAGCTTCTGGCTGAACATCTCTTGTGAGGGGAAACTCATTACCTTCTAAGGCCACCCATTCTAATCCTATGTCCCTTATTTTTTTTTCTTACATCAAGGCTAAATCAACTTCTCTACAACTTCTACCTGTGTCTATAGCACTTAATAAACTAAAAAGCACCTCAATCTCCCACACAGTCATGAGCTCCCTGTATGACTCTCATGAGAGTGGTAGAAAGAGTCATAAAGATCTAGGTTCAAGTCCTGGTTTTTCCCATTGCTCTTGTCCTTCAGGGCACCAAACAAACAAGTCTAATCCATCTATCTGATAGTCCTGTGCTTAAAAACAGCCATCAACAACCCCTTCAGTCTCATATCTGCCCTCTCCAATACTTCTCTTCTTCAGGCTAATAATCCCTAGTTCCTTCAACTGATCCTTGTATGCTATGATCTCAAGGCTTTTCGCCATCTTGGTTACCTTTCTCTGCACAAATTCCAACTTACAATGTCCTTCATAAAATGGGGCACCCAAAGTTGAATACAAGGCTCTACATGTGGATGGATCATGGTAGCATTTATTGGCCCTACCATTTTCTTACCCCTGGCCATTATACTTCTCAAAATACAGGCTAAGACTGCATTAGCTCTGATGGATACCATTTCACATTGACTTATATTAAGCTTGTGAGCCACTAAAACCCTAAGATCTTTTTTAGATCAACTGCTCCCTAACCATACTTCCTCCATCTTATACTTGGAAAGTTTTTTTTTTAACTTAAGGGTAAGACTTTCTATTTGTCTCTATTGAATTTCATCTTATTTTATTTGATTCATTCTGGTATTTTACACTTTTTAGATCCTGACTCTATCCAATATGTTAGCTAGCTCCCAGGGCTATGCATCATCTTCAAATATAATATGCATGATCTTTATGTTTTTAACCAAGTCAGTTAATAAAACTCTTATACAAAGCCAAGCACAGAACCTTATGGAATCTTCCTAGAGTTGACATCAGACATTCAAGGACAACCTTTTGGTTTCCACCATTCAATCAGTCCAAAATTCAACTAACTCTTTTATTGTCTGCCCCATAAATTTCTCTGTCTTGTCTACAAGAATAATATGAGGGACTATCAAATGCTTTTATAAAATCTAAGTTAAATTATACAGCATTTCTCTGATCTTCCATTCTAGTAGTCCTTTCAAAAAAAGGAAATTAGATTATTCTGTAGGATTCATTCTTGATTAAGTCATGCCGGCTTTTTGTAATCACTGCTTCCTTTTCTAGATGTTCACTAACCATACTTTAACTAATACATTCTAGAATTTTGCCAGGAATAAAAATCAAGCTCACTGTCCTAGAGGCTATAGTTTTGATTCTCTTCCTCTTCAAAAAAAAATAGGACAATGTTTTCTCTTCTCTAGTATCAACATGCCTCTTATTATTCAATTATTCTTATTATTTAATTACGCATGATCATGACGTTGGCTTGAAATAATATTCTCCATTTTCAGTATCCTAGAATGAAATTTGTCCTCTCCTACTTATATCAAGGGCAACTAGATATTCTTTCATGACTTCTCCTGGGTTTAAACTCCCTACAAGCCATTTTTGTTCTATTCTTTCTGGGCCAAAGTATATTCCCGGGGTGGGGAACCTTCAGCCTCGAGGCCACATGTGGCCTCGAGGCTGCAGGTTCCCCACCCCTTATATACTCTTTTTGACAAAGAAAACAGAAGTGAAGCAAAGGATTTCCCAGCCCTCCTGAGCTGAACTTCCCCTATAAATTTTCAGCCCAGGGGATTCTACCTGTCCTTTCTGACTTTTAAATTTGCTCTCCCAAAATCTAGAGTGCATTTCAGACTACACTCAGCTTGTCTCTCCCTCTTTATTACAAATTTAAGTGGTTGCTTACCTCCAAGTTTCCCATCATTTCTATTTTAACAACTAGTTCTTCTTTGTGAGTGAGAATTAGGTCCAGAATAATGGTTCTCCTCATTGATTCCTCTGCCTTTTGAAGCATAAAATTATAATTATGACAAGTCAAAAATTAGTAGTTAATCTACTTTTGGAACAGAAAGAGAACTTCACCAGCTGGATAGTTGGTTTTAGGCAGCTGGAGTATGACATTGGGCAGGGCTCCAGCAGGGGGAGTCCAACAATAGCCCCTTCCTTCATGTCTCCATAGATCCTCTGTCTTCATAGCATCACTTTTACCTTTAGTGGTTCTCAGCAGTAGTTTTAGGTCACTACTTTCTAATGTGGCCCTTTCTGGTATCATGCTTCACTCAGCCTATAGCTCACACAGTTCTCCATGTCTTCTGGAAAATGGTACTCATCAACTCTCTCAGATAACCAGTTCTCCATTTCCAGAAATCCTGACTCTCTACATCCCAGTCCAAAACATAGTTTTGCTTCCATTTCCAAAGTCTTCTCTTGTGCTATGATTCCTATAGACCTAGGCCTCCACACATAAGCTGTCTCTCAAGGGTCAAGAGCATCTTCCCAGTGCCTCCCACAAATTGGTCTTTATTCCAAATTCCACACTGGCCCAGGGTGGCTTTCCACAGCCACTTAGCACCTAATCATGCCTGTCTCCTACCTGAAGGAGTATTTCCCCTAGCTCCAGTCAGAAGAGTATCTTGATGTCTTTGTCCATTGTCTCTCAATCCACCAAGATTCTTCCTGGGGCAGCAGTGTGTAATTATTCAAAATTTCCAGGGCTGAGTCCTGAAATAGCCAAGAAAGAGGAGGAGAAGTCACTCACAACCCCCCAGAATTCGCATATGTGGAGAAAGATATAGATTACTTACACATCACTTCATGGAACACTTGGTTATTTCTCCTTGCAATGCTCACAACAAACACCTTACAATAAAGATAGTTGTGGGTCATGAATCAACACATTTCAGAAGATGAAGAAATTTTTAAAATCCACAAAGAACTTGGCAAGACCCTTGATAGTATATGAATTCACAAAGGGTACAAAGGAGAACTGTGAAAACTATGTTGAAAAATATGGTTTAAGATTGAGAAGTGAAACAGGCCAAAGGCTTATATACTATTCAGAAACCTCAACCCATATATTAACCAGCACATATTTTCCTCAATAAGAAAGTTAGAATGTGACAGATGTGACAAGCACAGAAATATATCACTACCACCCTCAAAAAAGAAAGAAATTGATTATATTTTAACAGACAGGAAATGACTGTTTACCAAATACAGGAATTATTTCAGAACTAACTATCTACGTGCAATCAGATATTCAACTGGCAAAGATCAAAATCAATATCCAGTTAAAAGAAAGGATAAAGATAAGAAGACATTAAATGTAATACAGTGGCTCTAACGACTATTTTCTAAAAGCTACCAGAACCACAAAATGGAAAAAAGACAAAAGTAAAAACATAAATTCTAATTATTATCATTACTTTGAAAAATATAACCAATGCAAAACAGTCACCACAATGAGGAGGAAAAAGGAGCCCAGAAACTACTTCAGCCAGCAAACACTCAATCTCCCTTCTAAGCACAGCCGAAGTCAACACCAGTTTTACCACACTCATTTTTTACAAAGATTACAGGGTATAATAATGGACATGTTACAACCAACATTGTCTTCCAAAATAGTGGGGAAAAAATTGAGAGCATTGAACCTAAAAAAGAATATCTGTGAGATTCAGCTAAGCAAGAGCATCCCCAGAGCATTACAGAAGCCTGGAAGAAGCATGAATAAACATAAAAAGGAACAGTGATGAGCAAAATTACCCATTTGAACTGTCCCACCTCAGTACTCAGTGTACTATGTGAGGAAGTGGTAAGATTTTATCAAGAGAAGTGGACCTAAGGGAACCTACAGATAAAAAAAAGTGCATGTGTCCACAAAACATTTCAAAGTTGGAAAATGTCAAAGGAGTAGGAAAAAAATGTTTCTACTGAGAAGAAACCAGCAGTTATCAATCCATATCACCTGCATACAATGGCCACTTAACAAATGTTTATTCAATGAATGATGCCTCAGCAAACCTTCCAACCCTTTGAGTTAATGTGTTTGATTTGTCTGACAAGAATTGGGAGCAGCTAAGCAAACATCAAGTTGTTATTGTTGTTCAGTCATTACCTTCATGACCCCATTTGGGGTTTTTTTGGCAAAAATACTAGAGCGATTTGCCATTTCCTTCTCCAGCTCATTTTACAGATGACGAAACTGAGGCAGAGTTAAGTGACTTGCCCAAGGTCACACAGCTAGCAAGTGTCTGAGGCCAGATTTGAACTCAGGAACTAGAGTCTTTCTGACTCTAGGTCGGGCACTTTCTCCATTGTGCCATCCAGCTGCCCCCCAAAAACATCAAGGACAGCCAGCCAAATATTTTCAGAAGATCAAGGAAGAGCACCCAGAAGTACTACTTAACAGAAATGGTCAACTTTGTCTTGGCACTCCTCTATTCTCTTCTGGAGCCCTTTTGTCCTTCTTTCCTCTCTCCTCTCCTCTCCTATTACCAACTACCAAGCACTCAGTGCCCTCAAAATTTGCTATGAGCTGAGTAGTCCTAAACTCCAGATATTCCTCACCCATTTGGCCAAATCACCCCAAACCACCAAATAATCCTGCCTTTGTTTTACTCCCTCACAGATTGTCTCTGGCTTGCAAGGTAGATCCCTGTAAATATACCTTCTGAAATAATAGCTACTCTACAGTTTACCTGAGGTTATGTCTGTGATGCTTCTATTTCCCAACTAGTAAATTAGCAAAAGTCTTCATTTCACTTTCTCTAAACTGTTCCTATTCAGCAACCTTAAGGCCAGGAGTGAGCTCCTATGCTATGGAGTTAAATCACGGTTAAATTTAGCAACAGCAAAATATACATTTTGCAGCTCACTCCCAAGACCTTGAAATGGAGCTTCTTTCTACTTTATCCAAAGAGGAAGGTGGCTGCTCGTTGTTTCTAGAACAAATGTATTACAAAACATGTGAATGTTTTTAACCTCCTTTTCATAACACTAAGCTTATTGCTAATTGTAAACTACAATAAGCAAACCTGTTTTCCCTTTCTTAAAAGACAAAACAAAAGACTCAACTAGGTAACATCCACTGACCTAAGTTTTTCCAGTCACGTGAAGAACCTCTTATTGTTGAACCCTCCTAATTCACTAGGTCCATTAGCCCCTTCTGACTCCACTTGAAGTCCAAACTAGACTAGATCCTATTACCAGCCATTTAACAAAAAGCTCACCAATGCCCTCATCTTCCTGACTTATTTGACGCTCATGTAAATGGCTGTTATATCAATCCCAAACCCCTACCTTCAATGCTCTCTACCACAAAACAGAATTTAAAGTTGAAAGAAAACTTAGAAATCATAGGATAATGAGAGAAATTATTATTAAATAACAAATTTAAGTAACCAATTATTGGGGAGATCCAGGGTTTTTTCCCTTCCTATCTCCTTATTTTCTACTGGGTCAAGTCAGCATCCAAAGACATTGCTGATAATGATGAGACTGGATTAACTTTCTCTTCAATCTTGTTCTGACCTCAACCAAGGAGGAAGCCCATTGTGTTTTACTCAGGGTGTGGAGGGGAGATCCTTTGTCTAGAATGCCTGAGGCTGGGGGTGGACTGAGAGAAGAGTGATCAGTCACTCTCCTAGCCCCTCATTAGGAGAGGTCCACCTCTCATTATAATATTCATTCTTCTCATTAATTGTTAACTAATCAGAGTTGATTGCCACCCTCAGAAACATCCACTCTTCCAAGGGCATATAAGCACTGAGTGGATTCCATGAGGGGTCTTTGGCATTCAAGAATGCCACTGACCCCTTTTATTAATTATCCACTAGCATAATTAATAAAATGATTTGCTACCCAGAAACTATGTCTCTGGAACTTTTTGTATGCCACAATAATAAAATTTAGAATTGGAAGATGCCTTAGATATCATATGTGTGACCACAATTCCAAAGGACTCATCATGAAACATGGGTACTACCTCCAGAAAGAGTAGTTAGAGTGCTGATTGAATTATATGTGTGTATACACATACATATATAATATAGATTATACATATATACTAAATGTATAATTTTATATATATAAAATGTTTATATATCTATACATATACTTGTCATGGTGAAGGGGACTGCATAGTTCAATGAAAATATGCACTATGCCATATAAAGTTATGATCCAAGATGTCAAGGTCATAGTGGAGGGTTCTGACAAAAGGTAAGACACCGGAGAAGGAAACGGCTGACCACTCCAGTATCTTTGCCAAGGAAATTTCACGGACGATATTAAAATAATAAAAGATATGATACTGGAAGACTAAAACAGTAGGTACTTACAAGTAGAAGAAATTAAGACAATGTGTCAAGAATATACAGAAGAGCTATACAAGAAAGATCTTAACATCACTGATAACCATGATGGTGCGGTTACCTATTTAGAGCCAAACATCCTGGCTTCTAAAATGAAGTCAAGTGGCCCTTAGGAAGCACTGCTAACAATAGGGCTGGTGAAGATGACAAAATTCCAACTGAGCAATTTAAAATCCCACAAGATGATGCTGTTAAAAGCGTTGTACTCAGTATGTCAGAAAATCCGGAAAACACAACAGTGGCCACTAAATTGGAAAAGATTAGTTTATATCCCAAGTCTCCCTCTTAATATTTCCTCAAATTACCTTTCTTTTCCAGAATTCTCAGTTTTTCTACTCCTTCTTCTCCTGCCTTCAAAACATGTACGTGTCTCCTTTATCTGAACAAGCCTTCACATGTCCTGGCCTCCAACTCCAGACAGCCAAGAAGTGTAACAAGGAGAGAGTCCTGGCCCTGGATATGAGAAGGCCTGAGTTCAATTCCAACCTCAGACACTTCCTAACTGCTTAGGGTCACCTAACTTATCTGCCTCAGTTTTCTGAATTGTAAAATGGCACCTCCTTTCTAGGGCTGTTGTGAAGCTTAAGTGAGATAGCACTCAGCATGGTGCCTGGCACATAATGTGCATTTAATAAAAGCTTATTTCTTTCCCCTATTGTTCTTTATCCTTTTACTGTCAAACTATCACAGATCTAGTCAGTAATATAATTTATGCTAAAATGTTGCTGAGAAAAAAATGACACATTTTTTTTTTTGGCCTAGACTTGTGATTTTCCAGGGATAGGGAGCTCCTGGTGAAGAATTCCTTCTGCCCATGCAGATCAGCATCTGGTCTAAAACTTGCAGTCTTAGCGAGATGTCTGGGGTACTAGTCCATCGATTTACCACCCCTTGGAGGACACTGGAATGACCCAGGAGAGGTGGTATTTTTTTGAAATAACACAAATTCAAAAAAAAAAAGTTAAAGGTTTAAAGAAAGTAGATTTCCAGGGGGGTGCTGAGTAATTTTTTTAAAAGGCCTACCATCCCGTAGGCCAAATAAGTTTGGGAACCTCTGTGGGTCCGTATCAGAAGCAGCATTGGAATCCAGGTGTTCCTGACTCTGACCAGTCGCTAGCCATTAAGCCACTTTGCCTTGCCAGAAAATAGAGATGCTTTTTAACTGGGTTCTTCAGTGCCTTAACCCAAAACAATCACTACAAGTGAAATTTTGACCATCATGAGATGGGGGTAAGGGACCATATTTTGAGGCAGGAAAAGTTTTTTTTAATATTAATAATATTTATTTAGCACAACTATTACCTCATTTGATCCTCACAACAACCCTGAGCCATAGGTGCTCTTATTATCCCCATTTTATAGATGAGGAAACTGAGGCAAACAAGGGTTAAGTGACTTGCTCAGTATCACACAACTTGTACATATTCAGGTCATCCTGACTTCACACCCAGAACTCTTATCCACTGCACCACCAATGCCTATCTACTCTTAGGGATTTGTTTCCTTTGCCTCTTCAGACAGCCATTCCTACAGGCTAGCCTCTCACTTAACCTAGAAATCCTCCTCAGATAAACCCTGAGCTCCATATCTTTCTTGGTGCAGTCTGTGTGCTGTATTAGGATGACAGAACCAAAGAACTAAGACCTAAACCCCTAGCTTCTGAGTGAGTTTGGTCCTTTGTCCCTAGATCCACCTACCATTGTGAGATAACAAAGGGGGAAAGAAAAAAGGTAATTAACTTTAAGAATTTGGAGAGCAAAGACCAAGTCTTATCAAAAAATGTTAGATTTAGACCTGGAGAGGACCTGAGGAGTCATCTGGTCCAGTATAACAGTTTTGCAGATAAGAAAACAGAAGGCCAGAAAAGTAAAGAAGGGATTTACCCAAGGTCACACAGGTAGTAAAGGGTGAAGGAGGGGCTGGAACCCAGGGCTTCTACCTCCAAATCCAGTGCTTTCTACTCCACCACACAAAGGAGTTTAAACTCAGATCTTAGAGGGCATCTAGTAGTCCAACCTCCTCATTTGAGAGATGAGGAAACTGAGGTTTAGAGAGGGGGAAATGATTTACTCATCTTCCAATTTATCTTACTCTCCATTCCATACACGCCGGAACCTTCTCTGAATCTTCTTGGATATATTTTCTGCCAACAGAAAGAATTTCAATCTAGTAGATATTCTCTGCAAAAGAGATGGCAATTCTTTTTTTCCTTCCTTCATTTTCTTTTTCTTTCTTTCTCTTTCTTTCTTTCTCTCTTCATTCAGCTCTTGGGAGCTGAAAAGATTCTTAGGCAAGATTCTGCAAAAGATGAGAGAAGTATATGGTTCAAAGTGCTGGAGACTAGACAGTGGTGAAAAGGCTTGTCATAAAATCATAGAATCTTATTGTTGAAAAGGGGCAGCTAGAACACCAGGCCTGGAGTCAGAAGACTGATCTTCCTATGTTCAAATATAGCCTCAGACACTTACTAGCTGTGTGACCCTGGGCAAGCCACTTAACCCTATTTTGCCTCAGTTCCTCATCTGTAAAATGAGCTGAAGAAGGAAATAGCAAACCTCTCCATTATCTCTGCCAAGAAAACCCCAAATGGGGTCACAAAGAGTCAGACATGACTGAAAGGACTAAACAACAAATTGTTGGAAATTACCTCAGAGTTCATCTAATACAACCCAGCCTTGAAGATACGGACCTTGTGTACACACACACACACACACACACACACACACACACACACAGAGCTTATTCTCAAACATAAATTGTTCAACTGACTACAAGTTTTCCCTACAGCCTGAGATCCAAAGTGTCACAGGGTTTAAGAAAAGGGTAATTCTTGACCATGAGAATTCCCCAGGAATTTGGCCTGAGTGAGAAATATATTTAGAAGGAACTAATTAAAATACATTTGTAGAGTCATTTTGTAAAATTCCCTGTATGCCTCTCCCCACCATGGCCACATGCATACAAAAGGATAGAACCTGTTTTTCACACAGACCCTAAAGACAACAGGAAGGGAAAGTCTCAATTAGTCTAAATTATGTTACTTGGAAAGTGACCAAGTGATTTCCCCAGGTCACACAGGTAATAATAATCATTGTATTTATATACACCTTCAAGTTTTGCCAAGTACATTACCCATCTTATCTCATTTGATTCTTACAACAACCTTGTGGAATAGGTGGTAGTATTATATTCTCATTTCACAGATGAAAAAACTGACTTGCCCAGGATCAAACAACTAGTGTTAGAGGCAGTATTCAAATCCCAGGTCTCAACACAAGCTCATTATTCTCTCATATTTTCTATGATGCACAGATGGGATTTAAAATCAAGCTAAGGGGAAATTCAGCATTTGATGTTACACTTTAAAAAAACAATTTCTCAGCCTAACAAACACCAAATAAAATGGACGTTTTTCCACTACACATCACTGAAAAGAAAAAAAAGGTTTGTACATAAAATTACAGATCTCTATTCATACCGCTTGCTTTTCTTTTTACATATATGCTAAGTTCAGTCCATGGCTTTCAAAGCTGTCCTGCTTGTCCGCACTTCTTTCTGTAAACTACACATTTTCTATCTAGGCTCACAGACCTGGGGCAAGCAAAGCCCCAGTAAGGTGTTTGAGCAATCATTGTTCCTGCCACAAGCCATCAGAGATAATATCTTCAGATAGGGGAGGAGGTACAGACAGATAGCTTAGACACTTCAGGACTCCTGAATTCTTTGCTGGTGTGAGGCCTGGGGCTATTTAAAAAAAAAAAAAAAAAAGGCCTGCTTGACTTGTAGCCATGCCCTTTCAAAGCTCTCTTCCAGTGGGATCTTGCCCTGGGAGCCATGGTGTGTGTGTAGGACATTGTTAAAGCAGGCATCAAGCCTAAGGCCCCAAAAAACCACCACCAGCATTTATGCTCCTTGTGAAAAGATCATCAGCCTCCATTGTTTTGATGTTTCTTAATTTGAAGTGTTTGGAGGAAGCTTTAGTCTTCTTTAAGGCTCCAATTCATTAAAACCTCTTGGCTCCTTTCCCCACTTGCAGAATAATTTGCCATTTATAAAATGGCCCCTCTTCAAACTGTCTGTGTAAATCCCCAGCCGTGCATTACAAGTTCACGACCCCTTTTTCCTTTTTACGTTCCTCGCTTTCTCTGCCACAAGTTCAGGAACTATGAAAAAAAAAATTTTTTTTTTTAAGTCTGTGAACTAGACTTGTAGTTAAGTAACAGGAAGACTTCAGAGATCCATCCTTCTCCTGAATCAACAATCTTTAATTATTAGAAGCTATAACCTTGGCACGTTCTTTCCCTGTTGGGCCTTTTTTCATTCCCTTATTCCATAAAACAATGAAGGGACAGGACGCTTGGCTACCCTCCTTTCTTCATTATGTCCTGTGGACCTTGGTTTGTAGCAATAAATTACTTCCTCACTTATGGGGTTTTTATGGGCCAGAGAACGCCATATGGTCCATTTAGGCTCCTCCATGTCAGTCCAACAAGAACAAGCCTCATATATCTCACACAGTTCATCTTAAAGACCTGTGCGAGCTTTCTGTGCCCACAAACAGAGGACCCATGAACTAGAGAATGGCTGAATTAATAACTGTGTTACATGAATGTAATTGAAGATTACTGTGCAGTAAGAAATGACAAATGGGAGGAATTTAGAGGAACATGGGATGACATATAATTTCATAGGCTCTTAGGATCATAGATCAAGAGGTACGAGAGACCTCAGAGGCCATCCAGTATAACCCAAGGAAACAGGATAACCAAGGACATAGGGATTGCTACAGATAAAATAGAAGCTCCCCATACAGTTATTTTCCACCTGGTACTAAATTGGAAAGCTAAGCCAAGGAGCAAAGTTTTAAAATTATAGAAATAATTTCATTTAATTATTCTTGAGAATTCAGTGATCTTTGTGCGTTTAATTTTTTTTTAAATAAAGCCAACTAGTATTCCAGAAAATATATGAAAAAACCCAAACAAACATTTTTCAATGAATCTTTTGGGAGAGGAAGCTAATTTTTTTCAATGTAGGTAACAGAAATAAATTGGTGTGTATTATGTCAGGTGTTTTATATATGATCTCAGAAGCCTTAAAGTTCTCTCTCTCTCTCTGGCTACAAACAGGATTGTGGCTTATTCTTAGTGTTGTATGAATTTTAAAAACCAGTAAAGTAGTTTAAATTTTTAGAAGACTTATGTGAACTGCACCATAGATTTATAGCTAGAAAGGACCTCAGAAGTCTCCTTGACCAAACTTCTCCTTTTATACTGGAAACAGGGGCCAAGAAAGGGTCCAAAAAATAATGAAAAGCAGAGAGAGAATTTGGGTCCAGGTTCTCTGATTCCAAATCTTCCCATAAGACCATGCTGCCCTTTGGTGGAAAGTAAATTATGTGGAATCAGGAGAGCAATGTACATCACCTGAGCTTCCAACAAAACCTGGCACATTTTGCATTAAGCTGCATTTTGAAGGAGATATAACTCCTGATTAGTGGAAATAATACTAAGTCATCATTATGGAGCAGTAGAGTTAGTGCCAAAGCTTCTTGGGAGAGAGACATATGTGTGATTTCAGGGACTTTTTGAGAGTGATACATAGAAAGACTTTGGAAAGCTGAAGACCTGTAGGAGAAGCTAGATTCTTTCAACATGTCCCTGATTTCCATTTTGCCTCCAGAGAGGGAGAAATTTGAGGGGAAATAGATAAGGAAAGGGGCAAGAGAACAAACAAAGCCCTTCTCTGCTATCTTCAAGGTGGAAATTATATTCCGTCTTCCAAAGGAATGGTCTAAATTCCAGAGATACCTATCCATGCCACCCAAGAGCCATATCCATACATTTAGAAACTCATGTGAATATGTGTATCTTAGACACATATTTCACATATAAAGACAATGACTATAATAATGGAAATGATAAGAACACCCTTCCAAAAAAAGGGAAGCTAACCTCCAAGTAATGGTAACGACTAGTTTGGTCCTGTAGAAAAGAAAATGAAAGATAGCGTGTTCTTCTGAGCAAAAAAATGGAAGACCATTAATACAGAATGTTGTATACACTATCTGACAAGTTATTATACCTGTTGGTTTTACATAAGGATTTTTCTTTGTTACAATGATGGAGCACTGAATGCTGAGCATGGGGTTATATTCCAAAATGACTAAGATGTAAAAAAAAACAAAAAGCATCAATAATTTTTTTAAGTCTGTGGGAGGTTCAGTTCTTTTTTTCTCCTATCTTTCTCTCTCAAATGTGTCCCATTCACTCTCGAGCTAATGAACTGCTTTGCTTAATTGCTGATTTGGACAGTTTGTTTCTCTTCCTTGTACCCTCTGTGTGAAGTCACTGTGCCCTACAAGTGCCGCATCCCCCTCCTAAACCTCAGCCTATGTGGAACAGTTTGTTGGTATCCATTTATTCCTTCCCTAGCATCCCTCTGCTAGTCTGGGAGTGTTTCATGGAGACTGATTTTCCCTGCACATATGAGTGCACATATAATCTTTCTTCCTAGGTTGGACAACCCGATATTCCTCCCTGTTTTATTTTCCCAAATCTCTACCATGTCTTTCTTCATCCTAATATTATAAGAAGTACAACGTTAGGCTTTCAGAACTATCTTCACCATATTAAGTAGCAGGAGGATTTTGGCGTACTCCCTTCTTTTCCTCCTCCTCCTTCCCTTACAATCCCTGGAGTCTGAGATGCTACCAGTCTCCCGATGGCAGACATTATGCAAGCACCTCTAGCAAGGGTGACCACAGAGTAAGAAGTCAGTTTTGAATTCCATTCCCTCTGACACCATATTAATAACGTGCATTTATTTAACTCATTAAGGCTTACAAAATGTTTTCCTTACAACAATTACATTAGGCAGAGACTGCAAATAAGGAAACTTGGGCACCAGCAAGACAGAGAGGCTTACCTACAGTCACGTAACTAGTCAGTGTAAACACTGACAACAGAATTCAAACTCAGGTCTCCTGACTCTTTACTGTTCTTTCTACAACAAAAAGGGTTTTTGCCTCTTGCTGTTTTCAAAATCTCTCTCCAGACTGATACGAAAGGACCAGAGGAGTAGAGGGTAGGGCTGGGTATCTCTATTAGATAATAACAATAACAATAATCATAACAACAATAACTATTATATATTTAGCACTTATTATGTGCCAGGCATTGTGCTAAGCACTTTTCATTTGATCTTCACAGCAACAATGGGAGATAGGCACAATTATATCTCCATTTTTACAGATGAAGAAACTGAGGTAAACAGAGGTTAAGTGACTTACTATGTGA